TTATTGACCTGATCTGAAAACTGCTGCTTATGTTCCATTTCCTGCATTGACAGCTGCACTGTTTCTTACAAAAAGTCTTCTGACTATCTCATCTGCTGAGTATTTGGCAGAGTGCCAGTGCCATTGCAGTTGACTAAGTTCAAGTTGTGTAAGATTGAGATAGACTTATTATAATCTAGCGTGACAAGATGATGTTTTAATCAATAAGTATGGGAATTACACGTAAAAAATTTCAGAAACCTACTATCAGGATACATTTTCTTTTATAATGAGTACAACCGAAGTTTTCTTGTACTCCTTCTCCTGCCATTTTGTTTTTGCGTTTGTCGCTTGTATCAAAGTCAAACTCAACATTCAAACTCGAAGGCCCGAGCTTATTGAGCAATCGAGAAAATTAACTAAGAGAAAAATATGTTTATAATTTACATTTAACTATGTTCTTGTGGATTATTTCTCAGAGAAAATGAAATATCTTTTTCAATGATCTAAGCAATTTAATCAGGAAAAGACAACTCTTCGAAGTATAGGACCACGGCGATCGGCGATGGGACACACCGAAGTGCAATTGAGTGTAGACTGTAGACTAGTGTAGACGAAAAGGGGGAGATAAGTTGTGTCATGGCGGCTGAAAAAAATGATTAGTTTATTACATGGAAAAATTTCATCAAAGTACTAAATAAGCTATCTAATATATTCAAAATTATTAACAATATCAAGCCACATTATTGCCTATGATGATGATATTTTTTCCATCTTTAATTATTGATTCCTGAATTTTTCAAAATATTTCAAATCACGTACCCCTTATGTCTTTATTGATTTTATTTATTTTGTTTGCACTAAATCATAAATTTCTCATTTATTATAGCCAAATTTGATCTTTAAGAAATGTCGATATTTAAATTTTAGAAAAAAAAGCACTGGCACGTCCCACTCAAACAGGATTTGATCCATAACATCACGTTGTGCCATTTAGAGTAACGAACTAATAGTTCAAAGGGTGGTTTGCTTTTTTTTTCTTACTTTTCTATTTTCTTTTTAAAATTATCATCAATTTTGTATTTAATTTTATTGAATTCTTTAACTATACTTTAAAGATCATTTTCTCACCCTATTTAAATTTTTTTCTCTTTTTTAGCAAATTTTCAATGAAACAATTGTAACAAAAATGTATAAAAAAGGATTTCACCTAAGCATTTACTGATGATAACAAAATATTTACATGAATATGAAAGACAGTGAAATCAACATGTACAATGATTATCACAAAATGACTAGTAATATCAACAAGGATTAATAAAATCATGCATTAAAGTTTTTGAAAATTACAATAATATTACAAGGTGTCTTCTAGTTTAAGTTATCAATATAATCTTTAAACTCTTGGAAATCTTTAAAAGTTTTATTAGACAGTCCTTTTGAGGTAGATTTCTTCATTTCTTCACACCATGACTTTTTCTTATATTTTTGGTGACCAAGATTAGGCTTCTTGCAGGCCCCACAATAAGGAACAAATGGCTTTCTTTTGGATGAAGATTCTTCTTCTTCTTCTCTTGTTCTCTTTTGAGCTTTATAAAATTTTGAGCGACTTATTTCTGGAATAACTTGTAGTTGTTGTATTGAGGTAGAAGGTATGGAATGGATTAAGTGGAATGGTTGAAAAATCTGTGAGGATACAGGAATATTGTGTAATTTTGGCATTGGAACAGGCTCAGAGATTGATGTACAGGTACTTGTTACTGGAATTTGTGATGTTGTAATGTCTAGTCTCTTCTTCAATTTCTTTGCACCAGCTAAGCATTCTCTTTCTACAACAGGAATTTGTGGTCTATCTGTTACAGGCATGACAGTTGGTAACTCCAGAGGTTGAGGCATTTCTATATCAGTCACATGGGTTTCCTTTGTTATGATGTCTTTTGGAGCAGTAGTGGAATTTTTTGCAATCAATACCTCTTGTCTCCGGATGAATTCTGCAACACATTTAGAATTAATTTTTGGAAGTGGAATGGCAAGGCGAGATAAAATTGGATCCTCAACCATAACTCTATGCTGCATCCTCTGGTAATGTTGGGTGATTCTATTTTTGACAGCTGCTGATTTCTTGCTGGTACCTTTATTCAGTTTTAACCACAGTTGTTTTATGACACAGTACAGTATTCTGTTGGTATGGTCAATATGTTGAGCAGGGGTGTATCTAATTCCAAATTTAACCTTTTGAATCACAGCAGCTGATTGTGGATCACCACTTGTTCTCTTGTAAAGAGTATTACCCCATCTTCCAGAGTAGGCAAGATTGAATTTTTGAGTGTTTTTGTCATGGTCTTCTAGAATTTTAAATGTTTCGATGATCTCTTTTTGAAGTTGAGGGGAAATACCAAGGGATCCTTCTTCCATTGCCAAGCTAACTAACAGCAAACTTAAACTTTCAACCTTTTCAAACCCTGGTAGATGGCTTGAGCCACAAACATCTTCCTGAAAAGAAAAAGAGAACAAAACATTAACTTAAATGTAAAACAATTCTATAAGCTTATAATTCATAAATGATATAGTCAATATTATCTTATAACAAAAATGGAAAAGTATGGCGACTACAATACTTGTACAATATCAAAAATGATAAAAGATCAAAAAAGAAAAAAAGAAAAACATCAAATAGTATAAACATACCATTACTGGATCTAACTCTGGTGCTGTCACCAAATCAGTGACTGGAATTGTAGCTGGTTTATCTGGTATGGTCTCATCTTCAGATTCATATCCAGGATCTGTCTTTTCTTGTTCATCCAAATCTTCGTTTTCTTCTTCTTCTTCTTCTTTTTCTTCTTCAGGTGAATCAGTCATTGTGTTGATGATGGTAGAATAATGTTCTTTGGTGTCAAATGATGGTATGGACTGTTTTAATAGATACTCTACTCCAAGTAACTCTGTTCCAGGTGGTACCAGTGGTCTAAAGTTAATCTCTTCAATTTCTTCTTCCCCAAAAAGTTCTGTGCATCTGGTGTTTAATCGATGTATCAGAGTGGGTGAGTAGGCCCTATGTCTTCTTCCATGACCTCCTTTCACATTCTCGCTGTCTCGATCTGCATTCCAACGAGCTATTCCGCCCAAAAGGTAAATCTGAAGTGACTGTATGTTGCAATGCACGCTGGGAACCATATCAAGAAGGTGAGAATGGAAACCTTCCAAACTGTTGTTTCCTCTGGAGCATCTGTAATGAGGAATGTCTATTCCATTCAATTTGATGTACTTCAGAACTGTATAAAAACTTAAGCCAGCAGGGTCCTGGAGACACTCTATATGCTTCTGTTGGTTATCCCATACTTCATCAATGGCTTCATCAGATTTGAACAGAGGGATTCCATTGGAGTCAAAACCAGCAGCAGTCTTCAGCTCTGAAATGGCAGCACTGACCAAATTGTATGTCTCTTGCACTCCAACAGTAATCCTTCTGACATGGTGTTGCAGTTGCTTCCTAGTAATATAGGTGTTGATAATTTCACTTTCAGGAATAGTCTGTAAGGCAGGACTGCCAGCTCTCACTGCTCTTATCAGTAGGTTCAAATCTGATCTGTTATAGGCAAACAAGGCACCAGACAGAGCTGATTTGAAGGCTGGATACTTTGGATGACTATCTGTGCGGACAGCAGCATCAAACCTATGGATCCAGTGCCATGCATCCAATCTGACACACATGCCAGAATCCACCCAAAAGTCGAAAAGTTTCTCTACTGATGAAGGTCCGTACTTTCGACAACAGCCACGATCAACAAACATCACAAGTGGGGGGTCTTCTCCAGCTGTCTTGTATCGGTCCATTAAACTTTCTGCCATTGGCTTTAATTTTTCTGTCGATTCCTCACAGGTGAGAACGAAGGAGAGAATTTGGCTGTTTCCATTTCCAATATTGGTACACCATTCAGCTGTGCCTTTTCCAGCACCTGATATCTTTTTACAAATCTGAAAAAACAATGGCATTGGAAATATGTCTTGTTGTGTTATTTTCAGGAGTTTAGTATTCAACAATATTACTTTGTTAATTCTACTTATATAATAATCTGTGATGCATTTTGGATGGGACATAAAAGCTCCAGTTCATTCTATTATTGTTAGGCTATTTTCAAAATATACATACCTTTTTAGTAGAATCAAATTTCAGTATCTTTCCAAATGTTGACATGATTTGGTTTCTGTAGTCGTCTACCTTTTCAGCCTCTGATATCAAAAATGCTCTCTGGAATAATTTAGCTGATGGTGGATCCTTTCTCTTTGGTGGTGGTTTAAAGTTGATGGCAAATGACTTCACAATTCCTCCTTTCTTTGTTAAAGAATGAAGCAAAGTGGTGTACAGATCTTTACGTTGAAGGTATTGCAAAGAGTGATTCTCAACAACTTGTCGCCACATCTTACGTGTTGTATTACCAATAGATCGATCCACCATTAACTGAATTATCTTCTTGTCTACTCCTCGCCTACAAAATCAAATCGTCAAATGAATTTCATAAAATTTACTCTGCGAGATTATCCACAAACTGATCACTCTTCTTCTGCAGCACTCTGCAACTTGGTTTGTGCCTTTGGAGAGTCAACATGAATCATGATGTTCTACTTTTTGTTCTATATAATTCTATTTGCCACTTCAGAACTAGACATTACTCCAGTGCTAGTTTCATTCAAATCAAAATGAAATAAGAATTCTAAATACCTGGCAGTGAGAATAGCTGGAAATAATGACTGATGTGATTCACTTAGAGATGAAACGATGGAATATTCCCAGGTTACAAAACGTGTGTTGATACCATACTTCTGATTACAGGCTGCACAGCTTAAAACCTCACACAACATAGTATACCAATCTGTTATGTCACATATCTGTCTAGCTCTCGAGTGATACCCATTTCTGTATAACGATGCTGTTTTAGATTCACGTTCAGGACAATCTGGTCTCGGACAGCTAATCTTGTATCCCCAAACACCTACAGGTCTCCAAAAGAAAACTCTTCCATGAAAAAAAGCATCTGGTTTATGTGCTGCTGCCTTGATAACACCTGGTGGCTCTGGGGGATAAAACCACATAGTATCATTCTTTAACACTTTTCTGGTTCTAAGGTTTCCTTTAATATCTCTAAATGTTTGAGTAGGCTGGAACAAACCTCTGTCAGAATCTTTCAACCAATGTAAATCCTGTGGTGGAATAGAATTATAGGCTTCCTCCTCCCATGACTTGTGCCAACCTTCATATACCACCTACAAAATATAAAAACACTTGTTTAAAGTCTTGTCTTAAAGCAAATTACAAAAGAAACTTAAATCTAATGTAACAGAGTTAGTACATGCTCATGCTTCAAACTGAAACAAATAATTTTTTAGATATATCATACCAAGGACAAATCTTTTTGACTGGATTCTTCAATTAAAGATTTACTCTGTTCTGATAAGGTTGAATCTGTAAGGAATGAATGGATGAAAAGGATGATGGAATGAAAGAATGAATGAATGAATGAAATGAGATATGAATGTAGCTTATATGGACATTTTTAAGGCAAATTATTTCACAAACCCACACATCAAGAAAAGTAAAAATTTACCTGGTGCCTTTGAAACAGTCGCAGTTGGAACATGTGACAAACGCTTTACTGGGGTTACAGGTTGTTGGTTAGTTTCTGCCTCTAAGTTTAAACTTATAGCTTCAAATATACTACTGTCATCTGACCATGCAACATCAAACTTTGTTGGTGAAAACTTGATTTCTTTAACTGGAACCTAAAATATGTAATATTAGCTTATATGAGAGGTGAAATATAAGGTTTGTTTGAAATGGAACATCAGTTTCACATCCATCCATCAAAACTACATCAATTCACATATACATAACTTAAAAATACTCACTTTAGACTTTTCCTTGTCTTTAATGTAAACTTGAAATCTTTTCATAGCATTTGTTGATATTTGGTCAGGTAACATACAGAGCCAGCGTCGCACTTGATCATAAACCTGCTTTGCCAAATTTCTCTTACCAGAACATATACTTGATGGATCAGTCTTATGTTTATAGTAGAGGTCAAACATTTCTTGATATGTGAACTCCTTGCATGGATGTATCCCATAAACACAAACATCAATGTTTTCTTCCAAGTGGGATGACACTGCTGGGAAGTAAGTCACATATTTTTTAAGATAATTTTTCAGCCATGCATCTCTCACTGTTCCTTGCTTTTTCATTTCTTTAGCATGATGATCAAGAAGACTGAAAGGAAATAAGGAATTATAAGACTAAGGCCTAAGAGGCCTAAACTCCACTTGGCCTTTTTGGGGGTGGTGTAAGGGGTAGGCCTGGTTCTAGGTTTTGGGCTACTGTCGCTCATGTGCAGGGTATTTTTGCACTTTGTAGCTATATGAAAGAAAGAAAGGTTGCTTACTATTTCACATATCCCACATCATTTTCCAATAACCATTTGAAGGTGTTGTTGACATATTTTCCAAAAGTTATCAAAAGTTGACCCAAATACTCTCTCTCGTTCGGTTCCTTCTGTCCAGCAACCTTTCCCAAACGTCTGGCTTCTTCTACAGCCGTTTCTTCCGACCATAATAACTTCTGGCTTGGTGTACAGGGTGCACAAATCACATTTTTCTGTTTTATCTTTATTTGGTAGGCAGCCTTGGATGGTCTCAAAATACACTGCTGTCGATCGGCTCTGACCGAAGTGTCGTTAATGTTCAAGTTCGGCAAGAGAACCGCTGACATCCTGAATAAAATTTAGCACAAACGAAAGTTTTATCTCACTTATCATGTTCCACCATCGTCCATGGGCATTTCTTCCGAGAATGAGCAGGAAAAACCACAGAAGAAATTTCAATGTTGACAAGAGAATAATTGGCGTCGACAAGCAGACGACTGTTCACGCGAGGTCACTAGAGTTCAACGTCTCTGATTGGCTAAGAGTCTACACTACTGGAAGAGTTGTGCAGAAGTGTAGACAGTTATCCAATCAGCGTGCCGATCGTACAGTGAAGTGTAGACAACCAACCAATGAGAAGGCCAGAAAGTGTAGACTAGTGTAGACCGATAGCACTTCGGTGCGGCGAAGACCTGCGATCTTTATACTCCCAAGTATAGGACTCACTCCACTAAAACATTTTATCCAAACGAATGTAGTCCAGGCTCTCCCTTTTAGGGTTTTGGGCTTATAGGAAAGTGGCTGCAGTAAACATCAACTTACAAGATTGTTAGACATGCCTTTACGAAATTCAAGGATTAGGCTTCTACTGGCAAATTCAGACATTCCCCCACCAGCTGAAAGTTGTATGTCCAAGTTATCCAATTATGTGAGTTCAAAGACTTGCTTCCAACCGTAACGTGATAAATGTGATTTGGATGGTCATTACAATTGTCTGACCATAGGACAAGAAACCTGGACAAGGAGCATCCCAATCAATCGGCATTGCTTGTGAGACAAACACAGATATGAAATATATCATAAGTGCTGTGTTGCAAAATAAACTTTGTTGGACTGGAGCGTGGCTAAAAAGCAGAGGTATTAGGACGTACTGTCAACTGTCCTGGACACAAGGGATGCACAGCAAATCTGACAAGACATGCACCTTTATCTGAAAGAGAAATGGGGAGTATAATTGGTGAAGATTTAACTATTCAAGGGGTGCTCAAGTTTGCAACAATAGGCCTAGATGGAGATTCAAGAACAATGTCAGCTACCAGAATTGAAGAGGCAATGAAAACTTTATAATCCTATGTGGAAAGTTGCAAGACTAGCTTACCCAGCTCATCTTAGTGCATCTCAGTTTTGCCTATGTTTTAAGGCTAATTTCAGCAGAGTGAGTCTGTATGGTACAGGAATTCTGATATTTGAACTCAGGTTATTGGTGTCAATACAATTATTTGTTCATGGAGGTAGCTATGCAGGCTACAAAGCCATTATTAGTCCAGAAGACGGTCTAGAATTTCCAGTTTAAAAAAAAAGTTGAAAAATTTATAAGTTAAAGAGACTGATGCGCCATTTTGGGGGGTTGATTTGATTGTTGAATATATTATGTTAATAGTCTTCAGAAGTACTAAAAATGTAAAAATTTCTGTATAAGTCTTTTCTATACAAGTTGTTATTTTAACATCCAAACATGGGTAATTCTGGACACACAGGAATTTGAAGGCTCAAATTCCAATGCTGAGCTGTGAACACTATTACTAATTAGCTTTGCTAAAAAATTCCCATTTCTGAGTCTAAGGCATGATTGGTCAAAAAAACTGTTCACCTGTCCCTTTAATGAACCTGTTCACATGAAAATATTGAATGGGCATCTTAATCTTTCAAAGAGACTTTATTTCTTGAATTAGCCTATATCTTCTGATGGAAAATTTGATAAAAAGAAGAAACATTGATGCATGAAAGCCATACCCAGTTGTATATATACTGTTTCGAGAAAAAATCAGTACAGTAATAAAAACAACGGTATCACCAAAACCAGGTTTAATCAAACAAATCATCTAAAAGTCATCATCAAAAACAATAAAACAAGGCCACAAAAATAAAAATCTATGAAATTTATAACAATAAAACTCACATTAGCCCTAGCTAGATATGGCACATTTTGACTAAATCATGGACAAAACTGAAATCTTATAATTTATATTAAACTCTTATTACTGGAAACTAATCATTCGGTAAATCAAGAAAATAACAATCATATCAAAAGTTACTTTTGTCTAAAGTGGCAGTATGCAAATTTTTCATTATGAAAAACATTGTAAATTATACATTAAAGATTTCTATGAAAATATGCTATTTATGTATCTACTAGATCCAACTGAATTTGTTTTAAAAGAATGAGTGTACTAATCATTAATTAAGCAGTTTGACCTAGTTTGGCTGTTAAGTTGAACCTTCAGAATAAGTAGAAGGCATTTTTCTATACATTTTGGCATTCTAAAATTAACAGCAAGATACTTAAAGTTAAAACTTTCAGATAAGTTAAGGTACACATTTCTCCAGTTTTTGGTGTATAGTTTTCATAAATATGAGTAAAAAGTCTTCCAATCTGCAAAAAATCAGACAGTCTTCTTACAAATCAGTTACTCACAAACATATAATAATTGACCAACAATCAGAGCTCTTTAATTTTTGAAACTTCATGTTAGCTTTAAATAGGCCTCTAGCCCTTGACTGTGGAATGAAACAGATGGAATTAGATTGTCAATTATATCCTATAATGAACTTTAATTTCAATAATCACAGAGACATAAAGCCATAACCATCATTGGTACAAATTCACTCAAAACATAATTTATCACTAAATACAAAAAAGATTAAACTTTATTAATAATTGTTGCTCTTGGTCCACACACTGGCCTTTTTTTTGAGATAATAGTACAGTAAAAACAATATTTGTAAGAATATAAAGCTAAAAATAAACTCTAAGAGGTAGCCTACTTGTTTTTTAATCAAAAGAATGTTGCTTTAAACAATATAACTGACATTTCTGATGTTCATAAGTATACATATGATTTATTTTTTTAATACATGGAAATGAAAAGTCTTATGAATAAAATCTCTTCATCATCAAAATGACACTACTGTAAAGACCTTAAAATTTTTGGTAATAATCTAATTGCTAACAGCAGTAAAATGCAGGTATAACATAGCCAGTCCACCTTTAAAGATAGGTTTTATTTTTTAGTGTTTCTAATGAATCCTCATGTGTTCTCATGTATGAACAGTCTGGATAAACAAAAAAAGAATTTTGACCTCTCTTGATTGGAATTGGAATTGAGCTGGTAATTCTCATCTAATTTAGCTAATTATGAATTAATTGTGGACAGGTTAGACAAACTGGTATTTTTCCAAGTCATTAGAACACTTCTGCTTTCTATTCATATAGGTATTAACATTTTCATTTTCATAAATGAAAATAAGGGAACCCATCTTTAAACACACTCACAATAATGATTCGATGTACTGGAAAATCAAGTTCATAGTTAAACCATAACTTCTTTTTCACCCTTATCCACTTTGTCAGTTGACTTCACTGAATCTATTTTAGAATTAGATGGACAACTGTTTGATGAGGATTGCAGTGGATGACAAGTGAAACTTTGATGTGAATTTCCGGTAGAGTTATCTATATTGGTAGAAATCTGGAGACTAGCTGAAGGGGGAGAAGAAGGTGGACTGCCATTTTGTATAGGATTATCACTGTCTTTCAGAGAAGAAGTAGACTTTGCTGTACAGATAATGTCTTTTGATTTCACAGGGGCAGGGGAATTTTGTTTTGATGACTTAAAATCCTTGTCTTGCAGATCTGGCCTACTTCGTCTTTGTGAATCTTTGCGACTGATGCTGTTTCTAGATTTGATACTTTTAGTCAAACTAGAACGACTATTTGATAAATGACGATCTGCTTTCATTACAGCTTCCTCTAACAAAATACTTGCTGATAGGCGGCTAAAATTTGCTAATTTTGCCATCTGACGTAATTCAGCTGACTGATTAGGTCCTGTCTGCTCAACCAAATTTGTAAAGTATCCATCATCATCCAGTAGTAGATTATAAGGTGTATCAAATTCCTTTACTTCACCATCAGATAAAACCTAGAAAATGATCAACTAAAACTTAACGGGGTCTTGGAATTATAAATGACTATATCTGACAGGAATAATACCGACAGAAAGTTATAATGATAATACTAAGACTTATACTTGACTGAGATGGATCAGCAGTCAAATGGAATACCAATAGTTTATAGTGAGCTCTAAATATGCTTGTTATCAAACTACCGGATATCCAGCAATGTCATTTGACAAAAAAGGCTTTAAGTGTAAATTAGAAAACTGCTAACATTAATTATGTCAAGCTCACCATAGACTTACAATATACAGACATTTGCAAGTAATATTTAAGGTTGTTGCCTTCTTGATACTTATTTGAGCAGTAAAATGATCACTTACCAGTATTCTATCGCAGTCCATCACTGTATGTAATCTATGAGCTATAGTTAAAACTGTACTATTTATAAATTTAGCTCGGATTGTACCTTGAATTAAGTCATCAGTTCTGTAATTAAAAGAAGAATTTCATATTTTCTATAGACATGAATTAGTTTCATATACACAAGTTGTATTGATATGTTGCCATGGAATTCTGATAATTGAATATTATTGTAGGCTTTTTAGTAAATACGTACTGTGAATCCACATGTGCTGTAGCCTCATCTAAAACTAATACCGTATTATATCTTAATAATGCTCTAGCTAGACAAACCAGTTGTCTTTGTCCAATACTAAAATTTTGACCAGCTTCAGACATCTCCATATATAAATTATCTTGTGTTTTTGCTACCTTTTCTCTCAGTTGTACCTAAATAGAATACATATATAGACCAAATCAGTATTATCAATGTTGATCACAAGTTATATGATAGAAAAAATATTTGCACAAATAAAAAAAATTACTTGTCTGATTATAATGACAGATATGTTTACAATTTATATAAACTAAGTAATAAGATGCTCCTCTTTCATTTTAACAATAGTTTGTTGTATTCCATGAACTGTTTTCTTTTGACAAATCTAATCTTTGAGATAATGTTGCAAATTTTTGACGTCCTTTTTTTGACATGTTTTCAACTTTATTCAAATCTTTAAACAATTCATTTCAATAAATCTAAATCTAATTAATAATGGATTTTGTATATTGGCGAAGAAGTCTATACCTGATCCAGAGCGTTCCAGAGTCTTTCATCACTATATTCATCAAAAGGATCTAGATTATATCTTAAAGTTCCACTAAATAATACTGGGTCCTAAAAATAGAGATAAATAAATAGAGATAATCCATGACAGATCAATGCTCAGAAGTTTAGCCAATAACAGGTGGAATATGAAAAATTCTTGTTTAATTCTTTCAATGAAAACACCTACTTGTGGTATGACAGATATTTTCTTTCTCAATTCATCTAGTCCAATCTGTAATACATCCCAACCATCTATAAATATTTTACCATTAGGCTCAGCTAATCTGAATAGAGCTGACATTAGAGAACTTTTACCTGCTCCAGTACGTCCAACAATACCAATCTGAAAATATTACCAAGTTTATGGACGCACTATTATTAATATCAACACATTCAAAAAACATTGGGTTATGCATTGAAATAAATAAAAAGTAAAAAATATTTACATATATGAATGTCTGATGTCTGGTTCAGCTGAAAAGGTTCATCAAACTTAATCATTAGAGCTCAGAATGAATGTCTTATGTATAGTTCATTATTAGATTCATCAAACTTAATCATTAGAGCTCAGAATGAAAGTCTGATGTATGGTTCAGCTGAAAAAGTTCATAAAACTTAATAATAAGAGGTTACAATTTCAAGTCTAACGTCTGGTTCAGCTGAAAAGGTTCATCAAACTTAATAAATATAGCTCAGAATGAATGTCTTATGTATAGTATAGTTCATTATTAGATTCATCAAACTTAATCATTAGAGCTCAGAATGAATGTCTTATGTATAGTATAGTTCATTATTAGATTCATCAAACTTAATCATTAGAGCTCAGAATGAAAGTCTTATGTATAGTTCATTATTAGATTCATCAAACTTAATCATTAGAGCTCAGAATGAAAGTCTTATGTATAGTTCATTATTAGATTCATCAAACTTAATCATTAGAGCTCAGAATGAAAGTCTTATGTATAGTTCATTATTAGATTCATCAAACTTAATCATTAGAGCTCAGAATGAAAGTCTGATGTATGGTTCAGCTGAAAAGGTTCATAAAACTTAATAATAAGAGGTTACAATTTCAAGTCTAACGTCTGGTTCAGCTGAAAAGATTCATCAAACTTAATAATAAGAGCTTACACTTTCAAGTCTAACGTCTGGTTCAGCTGAAAAGGTTCATCAAACTTAATCAATATAGCTCAGAATGAATGTCTTATGTAGAGTATAGTTCATTATTAGATTCATCAAACTTAATCATTAGAGCTCAGAATGAATGTCTTATGTCTGGTTCAGCTGGAAAGGTTATCAAACTTAATCAATATAGCCCAGAATGAATGTCTTATGTATTAGATTCATCAAACTTAATCATTAGAGCTCAGAATGAATGTGTTATGTCTGGTTCAGCTGGAAAGGTTATCAAACTTAATCAATATAGCTCAGAATAAATGTCTTATGTATAGTTCATTATTAGATTCATCAAACTTAATCATTAGAGCTCAGAATGAAAGTCTTATGTATAGTTCATTATTAAATTCATCAAACTTAATCATTAGAGCTCAGAATGAAAGTCTTATGTATAGTTCATTATTAAATTCATCAAACTTAATCATTAGAGCTCAGAATGAAAGTCTTATGTATAGTTCATTATTAAATTCATCAAACTTAATCATTAGAGCCCAGAATGAATGTCTTATGTATAGTTCATTATTAATTTCATCAAACTTAATCATTAGAGCTCAGAATGAATGTCTTAAGTATAGTTCATTATTAAATTCATCAAACTTAATCATTAGAGCTCAGAATGAAAGTCTTATGTATAATTCATTATTAGATTCATCAAACTTAATCATTAGAGCTCAGAATGAAAGTCTTATGTATAGTTCATTATTAAATTCATCAAACTTAATCATTAGAGCTCAGAATGAATGTCTTATGTATAGTTCATTATTAGATTCATCAAACTTAATCATTAGAGCTCAGAATGAAAGTCTTATGTATAGTTCATTATTAGATTCATCAAACTTAATCATTAGAGCTCAGAATGAAAGTCTGATGTATGGTTCAGCTGAAAAGGTTCATAAAACTTAATAATAAGAGGTTACAATTTCAAGTCTAACGTCTGGTTCAGCTGAAAAGGTTCATCAAACTTAATAATAAGAGCTTACACTTTCAAGTCTAACGTCTGGTTCAGCTGAAAAGGTTCATCAAACTTAATCAATATAGCTCAGAATGAATGTCTTTTGTAGAGTATAGTTCATTATTAGATTCATCAAACTTGATCATTAGAGCTCAGAATGAAAGTCTTATGTATAGTTCATTATTAGATTCATCAAACTTAATCATTAGAGCTCAGAATGAAAGTCTTATGTATAGTTCATTATTAGATTCATCAAACTTAATCATTAGAGCTCAGAATGAATGTCTTATGTATAGTTCATTATTAGATTCATCAAACTTAATCATTAGAGCTCAGAATGAATGTCTTATGTCTGGTTCAGCTGGAAAGGTTCATCAAACTTAATAATAAGAGCTTACACTTTCAAGTCTAACGTCTGGTTCAGCTGAAAAGGTTCATCAAACTTAATCAATATAGCTCAAAATGAATGTCTTATGTATAGTTCATTATTAGATTCATCAAACTTAATCATTAGAGCTCAGAATGAATGTCTTATGTATAGTTCATTATCAGATTCATCAAACTTAATCATTAGAGCTCAGAATGAATGTCTTATGTCTGGTTCAGCTGGAAAGGTTCATCAAACTTAATAATAAGAGCTTACACTTTCAAGTCTAACGTCTGGTTCAGCTGAAAAGGTTCATCAAACTTAATCAATATAGCTCAAAATGGATGTCTTATGTATAGTTCATTATTAGATTCATCAAACTTAATCATTAGAGCTCAGAATGAATGTCTTATGTATAGTTCATTATTAGATTCATCAAACTTAATCATTAGAGCTCAGAATGAATGTCTTATGTCTGGTTCAGCTGGA